TGTTTTAGAAAGGCAATCAATTAACGCCAACCACAATATCTAACTTCACTTTTTTCGATTTTTTTGTAAGTAATATGCGTTTTGGATTTATTATACTTTAGATCTATGTTCTGAGATGAAGTGCTTTAAAGCATAGTGCCATATTTCACTCACGCTCACGTGAACAACAGTGTGACTTCCAAATTAAACTTTAAAAAAAGGAGATATTTTATAAATATTTTTATCTATTGCATTTTGTTAAATTAAATCCTATTTCATTTACATATCGGCTCCATGTAGGCCTTGTTTATAAATATTAGGTTTTGATAAGGAGTCCTGCGGGATGTTTTATGTGTTCTTATGAAAACCGGCAAATGTTCACAAACCCAAATTAGACAGTTACAAAACTAAGAGGAGTATATTAGTTTCATGAACTTCTTCTGATAAACGATTTGATTAACAATGCGACAGTGCCCTCATACTTTCCTAATTTTAAGCAATAATGTGGGCCAAGCAAATGTAAAATGCAACTAGTTTTTAATTAATAAAATCTGTTATTGCTTTATCAAGTAATCATCGGGTATTGTTCGGTACGGTCTATCGTTACATCGTTACAACAGTGGATGTCAGTGTCTCTATGTCAATGGTCGTAGAACGGTTTATTCATTCAAATGCAAGATATGAAATTGCGAGACAATTTTCTGATTACGTTTACAGGACCGTTGCGTTTGAATAGTCATATCCTGGTTTACACTATAGCATTGTTTGCCTTCTTGCAGCGTAGAATAATGAAGTGGCCATGAACAGAAGATGTTCGTTTACGTTCCTTTACCAAAAATTTGTCCGATAGTTAAACTGCCCATTAACACCAATCAAATATATCTAACTTCAACTTGTTTTTTATCATTTTATCTGTTTCTTATGTAAGTAATGGATTTTATTCAATTTTCACTCCATGTCCAAAGATGAAGTTCTTAATGTATATATTAAGTTTTATTAATGTTTTCTCATTCGTCTCATTTCAATTTCATATTGGATTGATTAGAAATAATATGTTTGAGTAAGGTAGGTCGGGGTCACGGGTGGCAATATTTTATGTAATTTCATGAAAATAAAATAAAATGAATACAATTATATACATATTCATGTTTAACCTGAAATAAAAATGATAATATTCTTAACATCCATGCATCTATTGAGTTTTTATTAACTTCTAGTCAAACACGTTATATCATTTCTCTATTTCTTACATGTGATCTCATGAATATCGTCGAATATTCTGAATCTTAAATAAGATCTATATGAGAGTAAGGGATTTTATAGTTATCAGAGTTACACATTGTGCTTTGTAATGATCGGAAATCCTCTATATCTGTCTTAGTATAATCTCGTATAAACAAGGGTAGTAATGACATTTGAAACTTATTTAGAACCTTTGTAAATTATTTTTGATGTTTCTTATTGTCGTACTTGTATAAATATTTGGAATAAAACTGTATAACAGTTTTACTTTTGATTGATATCTTATGTTATCGGGCAATTTTTCAGTAGCGTCAGCGTCATGTTGGTAAACGATTTTACAGACAATATATGAAGAGTTAAACTAGGTCGATCGCCGCAGTACAGGTTTCTCATTCACATTCAAAATTTAAAATGCCAGAAAACTTTCCGAATTTTTTTTTATAGAACTTGCAATTTTCGGATCGTCATATTATGGCTTCACGTTGCAGCATTGTTTGTCGTTTCGCCACGTAAGATGGGATTACCCTTGTGCAACATTACATGCAAATGACCTTTGATTCTCCAGTTACCAGACTTGGTTGCAAATCATGACTAAGTCCGCTTGATCTCAATATTGCCATGCGGTGAGGCATCTCACTCATGGACGTAACGGGACGGGACACCTTAATGAGAATTTCTTCAAAACAAAGGACTGAACGAAAATATTCGAGTCCAAAAGTTTTTCACAAACCTGATGCTTGTCATTATTTAAAAAAAAACGTATTTTATGACATCCAACTAGTTCCGACTAGGAGAAAACAAACGGATTGACATTCTTAAAACAGACGGATTGACGTTCTTATACAGTTCACGCGTGTATGAACCAGAAACAGGATTTAAAACCAAGAGACATAAGTATAAAAATTTATTCCAAATTCAGCCGTAACTTGACCTCGCGACAGCCATATTCTATGCTGTTTATAACGAAGACGAAAAACTGGAAGATTTTTCGCTTATAGGTTTTCTGTGTGAAAAATTGGGAAGCTCATTTGATGCAACATGTGCTAGACTATTCTGGTGGAACCTACCAGGGTTTCTGTTTGCAAAATCATGGCATAATGTCACCATTAACAGAGCGGATAAAAAAAAAAAAAAAAAAAAAAACTGGTTGACAATGAAACTTCTGTTTAAATACACGTGTCATTGATGCACCTTCATAGTCCATTCGACATCCAACCATTAACATTTGTCTTGCCAGAAATGAGTAATTTTTAACAAGTTTTAATCGTCTGAAAATAAACTGAAGAGAAAATTAAACTCCAATTTCCATATTTTCAATTACTAACAGCATACTAATTTAGAGTAAAATATATCTGGATCTGTAGTGGAAAAGCAGAAAAATCTGTTGTTTTGAAACATGTGGAATAAAACATACGTACATAACGCACAAACTAATTGAGTAACAGAAATTAACGGTGACGGATAAAAATTGAACAGATTAGATTAATTCATTACTCTAACTAACCTGTCGTTATTGACGTAGTTTGAAGTATCTTTCATTCATAATTTAAATTAATCATTACCGGAAGTATTTCAGTCTATTGAATAATAATTTACTTCTATCGTGCCTTTGCCTTTGCCTCTTGATGGTAACAATATATGGCGCGCTATAATTTTTGCGATGATTCTATCTTTTTGCCACCGCCATTTGCTATAACAATGTAACATATGCGAATGTATTAGTCAATTTTTCAATCTATCAACATTAGACTACATACTTTAATAAGATTATATATCTGAAATTTCTTATACGGCTTCTATCACAGAAGTACATTTATTTGCGGCTATGTCATACATCCAAGCAACATATAGATTTCACCGTTAGCCGGCTCATGTCTTCGGTTTACACTGGAACTTTTGCTACAAACGCTGATAAAGAGCAGTAACTTATTTTAACAATGTTTAGATGTTGCATATATATACATTTTTCAGGTGAAGTGCGTAAAACAATCAAATTCTAATAAAGGTAGAAACGAGAATATCGGTCACAGACCGAAGATTTATCGATTGAACACCTTGTGTCCCATCACTAATTAAATGATAATTCGCTAATTATACGACATAATTCGCCCAAAATCAATAGGCTTCTGGCACGAGATATGATGAATGAACAAGCAAAATCTGCAGCAACTCCAATCTCGCTTTTGTGAGATATCGCGTGCATCTAACAGACAGACAGAAAAACAGCAAAACAGACAAATACCTATCAACATACTTACCGATTAAAATCAATAAGTAATAAATTCGGCATCGACTCTTCTATATCATTTTCTTGCAATACAGATTATAATGATATTGAAGTAAGATTGCTATTTGTGATTTATTGTTAATTTGGAAACAACTTCTATCAATCAATAAAGAATATACGAGAATATCGGTCGGACACCGAAGACTTATCGATCGGAGGTTAGGGGATCCCCAGAACAGCGCCGCTCTTACTCCATGGTGACACCGTGTGTCCCATCACTATTTAATCAATAACTTGCTAATTATACGACATAATTCATCGAAAATTAACAGGCTTCTGATCCGAGCTATGATGATTGCACATGCAAAATTTCGAAACAGATTCAACGTCGCTTTCGTGAGATATCACGTGCATCTAACCGACAAACAAACAGACAAATACTTAACATACCTACCGATCTAAGATTGATAAGTAATAATGGCTATGTGGTTCATGGAATATTATGGAATTGTCGTTCGTTCAGTTGGTTTACTTCTTCGGGTTTATGATTGTCAACATTAACGGTATTAGGAGTAAAAAAACTTGGATGGCGATAAGCATGATTGGTGGCATCGGAAAAATGACAGTGTGGGGGGGGAAGGGGAGAAATTAGATTTGTCCAATCATTTTCAAGCGGCCTGTATTAACCGCCCATAAACTTTAAGCACTGTGTTTGCCTCAATTTCCGCTTTGCGTGTTAGTTTCCTGTATTGTTAATTTTCTCCCACCCACACCCCTTTAGTGGTTTAACACAAATGAGCCATGGTCGTGACCCATTACATATAAAACGACGAGAAGCAAGCAGAGTAGCTTGTATTTGTCATTTGACCATGCAAAGTTATTTTTATAAGTGATTGCTAATGCTAAAATCATTGATATTAAAGAATATGGGAAAAGCATTGCTAGTTGCATTGAAAAAAGTCTCTCATCCAGAGTGAAATATTTTAATTTGGTTCTATAAAGCACACATTGAAGTTTTCACTATTAAATTTATAATCGTTCACAACTCTTTTTTAAGTTAATTCCAATACGCTAATTGTGCAAATATGCCTAAGCGCCTTAATACGTTGCTTATACTTGTATTGTACTTGTAAGTTTTTTCCAATATTCTCTTTGGTATTGATTACATTTTCAGCTTCATATCTATATTTGGCGTCTATTAGCCTTAGTTTAAATACTGCCTTCAAGTACGTGATCAAAATTTTGGTGCCTTGGGTTTTCCTATTTTAAACAATCACATCTTACATTGCAAAAATATCCAAAAAATGTTCGGACAAAATGGGATATCGTGAGTCATTGAAAATTTATACTATTTGGAAAATTGTAAAATATTGCTCAGTTCTATTAATTTCAGATGAATAAAGGCGTTCCAATAACTCGATAACATGAAGTAGTTTCAATGAGTTTTAATAACATTTTTTTTTGACCACAATGCATTGATATATTACAGAGCGGTTGTAGTATTTGTATTTGGCAGAAGCGAAGACATGGAATTTTACGTGAAATGGTGTTTTGATACACATACGTTGAAGGTGGTTGATCTAAATTTAAAAATTTCAAGCAGTGTTTTCCGATTGCATTGCGACAGCACTTGAAAAATACCTAGAATTGTGGAAAGTATTTTCATCTTCAGTTTTGTTTCCTCAATTCAGGATATTTAATAAAAATGAATCGAATTTTATTGTTCGGAATTATACTGCTGAGTACAAGTGAGTAATGAGTTATGTTTTTTTTTTCTTTTTATTCAATAAGATCGTTTAGGATTTTTTCGTGTGTCGCAGAGGAAAAATATTGAGACTACCTGGTTATGGACATTCGTCGACTGGTTTGCACAGGAATTCGTAAAACGAGAAAAAAAAAACTCGCCTATATACCTGACACTTGTTATGCGATGATTCTGGTGTGTTGTTTCGAATACATAGTTCGGAAAATCGACATAAATTTATTAAGATCAGATGAATGGATGTCTGTAATCAAATAACAATTAAAAAAAAATTCGTTTAGTATAATATAGCGATATCGAGATTCTTGGACACTGTTGCCGGTTTTTAAGGGGAAAAGAAGACGAATTAAAAAAGACTAAATTTTATTGATAAAAAAAAATTTTAAGCCTCAACGTCAATAAGTTTTCGAAATTTTTCTGATTTTTTCCCAACTTTTGATTATCTGTTTGCTTATTGTAAACTATTTTTATTTTAAAAACAAGGTTTTTTATATTATCTAAATCTTGAACAGAATCTATGAATTGTAACAAACTAATTTTTATTCAATCACAGTTGTTTCATCTTTAAACGGCAAGAAGTGTTCAGAATATATCGATATCAGAGATGATCTAAGCGGGCGAGTGGAGTCTCCAACGAATTATGAAGAATGTCAGGAGAGTAAAATGCATTGTTCATGGAAGTTTTTTTTCCCAACTTATCTACATCATACCATGTTCCGAATGACTTTCACAACCAATTTTGTACAAACAGATAAAAATCTTATACAGATGAGTGGTGGGTTTCAACCAAGATGTAAGTATAAGTGATGACAGATAATTTTAAACTGTAGTAATGAATACTTAGAGAACTCCAACTGATAAAGTTTCATCCAAATTTTCGTGTGTTTGAATTTCGTCCTGTTGTAGTATTCATTAAGTCCAACTTTGTTATATCAGAACCAGTGAAATTGCATGCTATACTTTTCACGTGCTGAAGTTATATATATTTTAACATTGCTTCTGAATATGTTCCAAATATTCCGTTTATGGGAGGTCATACAAGTGGCAATTGAGAATACTTCACATATATTTCAGTAACTAAAATTTGCGAGACACAAATTGTACACGGTTTTATAGTTATTTAGTTATTCGTAATAATATGTTATGCTTGTCTTTTATACAAAGGTTTAGGTTGTTCGAGAAAGCATTACATCAATTTTAAATCAGTCAAAGACGAAATATGTTGGGTAACGTACAACTCTGATCTCTGCTTTGGCAGAATCATGCTATCAGGATGCAATGTAAGACCACGGGAGTCCACACGTCATACGTCACAAGTCACGCCCACGTCAGTTTCATACATATGCAAACCATCAAAAGCCCAATTTAACTTGAGCTACGAATATATCGATTGCATGACGGGTAATATTTTATATTGAGCAGATATGTTTAATAATTTTGCTGAAATGTCTGGGGATAGTTTCTACGGCGAATTTAAAAACAAAAACTGATTTTATTTGATATATATAATATATCTAGTAGGTAGTGTTTGAATCAATCAACTGAAAAAAATTAAAAAAATTTTGACCTGTACGATTATAGTTGGATGTGCTCTAAAATCAATGTACCACCAAATATGATTGTTATATCGATCGGTTTCTGCGAGACTAACTAATTATCCTTCTGCTATGCCATTTGGGCCGGTGGATCCATATGCGTATAATGCAAGAGTGTCATAGCTAAAGAGAAGATAACTATCTTAATTGATTCAACAATTGCTGCACACAATGTTACATAAATATACTTGTGTTGGTGTGCAGTAAGACTCTTGGATCACACAGTAGCGTGCCTGTTGCTATTCAGAATAATAATATCTCATTCACTTTAGGAAACAGAATAGAATCCCCGGAAACTACAACGCAACCTACAACCTATGAACCAATCGCTGAGAATTCCAAAGACGATCTCATATCGCTTTCCCCTCAAACAATTGGTATAATCATCGGAGCGATTGTTCTGGCATTCGTTCTGCAAATTATAACATGCAAAGCATATTTTTATTGGAAAAATAGGTGAGTTTGGGAATTGAAATTTCAATATTTTTTTCCCAAATTTCTCGTTACAATAATTAGTTTTTATTGTTCCTCTCCTGGAACACAAGTTATTCAACTAATATTTTTTTTAAATATAAATATGTTTGTAATTAGGATCAAAACTTTCTGATATTTATTTAAAAAACAAAATTATAATCTGGGCGGGTTGCGTAAAATATTTAATACCTTACCAATTAAATTTCCCTCATGCACATGCCAAAATATCCATCTTACTGATCAAACGTACAATGAAAAATTAGAATGAAAAACAAAATAAGTTAGATCCAGATAAGTGATCGTAAAACAAATATTATTCTAAAGTAAAATTTCATTTTGTTGTTTTATACAAGACTCTAAGATTGCTGACTTTTCTTCACATTGACACGTAATTAATATTGAATCTATTTTTTTATTCTTCAGAAATCGTCGACCTAAAGAGGGAGAGAATCAGATCAATACTCGTGTTGTGAACCGCCCGTTACCAGATCCGCCTTCAGATTCTTTGTACGAAGAAGTGAATATTCCACTGTCTAGAACTGAAGCTGGAGCAACACCGCAAATCACGATACCGATGGATTACGCACGATATATTGCGCACACCAATGTTAACACGTCACGTCCAAGGAATAACCAGGCATTTCCACAACCGGCCATGGCATCATCGAGTCAGGGTGGATATGCAGTCGCGCGTATGTGAAATCGCCCGAACCCGATTACATACCTATGGAAAGCATACGATTTTGTTCGGCTTTCTAGAATAACCCGACTGCGAATATTTGAATTGAAAATATGTTTTATAAACTATAATTTTCGCCTTACTTATTTCATTTCGCTCCGTAAGCGAGTCCGACTGAAATAATTAAGTCAGAAATAAGTTAACCTAACCTTTTTGTTGTTGATGATGATGACAAAGTAAAAAGCACTACCTTGATCAAAATCCCCCAAACCCATTGTCCTACACGCATTGTCCCTAGAGATTGTCATAGACGGCAATTTTTATGCCATCTCCTAAAAACCGCAGAATTTTTTTAAACTCAAATAATATTCACGCAAGAGTAAGAAGTCTTATTATTTTTAAAATTATTTATCAAAATTTCAGATTCGGCTTCATAAAGATTGTAAGTCTTGAGTCTGGTATATCTGTCTTAGATTAATATTATCATTCTTGTATAAATATTCGGAATGAAACTGCAGAATAATTCTATTCTGGATTTATTTTATGGTATTAGTATGTTAATTAATATTTCATTTATTATCAAATAAATTTCAATATTTCGCATTGAATGTCGATGACGGCGCTTCCCACTGTTTAACGATTTGAGTATAGCAATGTGAACGTGTCCGTTTATAATTCTAATCAATAGTGTTGGCCAAGCAAATGTTAAATGCAACTAGTTTTTATGGAATTTTTAAATAAGATTGGTCGAGTTCGGGTTACAGTCTGTCGTTACATCTTGTAAACAATAGATGGGGATTTTTAATACAGCAGGGGTCGTATTACAGTTCATTCATTCACATGCAATAAAATTATTCGATCACTATTAACAGTACTGGTGTTTTTTGAAGCGTTATATCCTGGTTTTAGACAAGCACTGTTTTCTATTTTAAAACGTGAAATCTCTTGATAATAAATCAAATGATAATGAGCAGTATTTTATCGACACCACCTAAATAAATCTAACTTTATTCAATTGATTTTTGCATTTTATCTGTTAATAATTAAAGTTTTATGTATACTTATACTTTAGCTCTGTTTCCCTGATGCAGGGATTAAAAACTAGAACGTACAATTTTCTTTTATATAATGGCAACACTAGTGCGTTTTTACACCGTCTTGCTAGAGCATTGTATTTTAAAATATTAATTTATCAGCTGTAGCAAACATGATTTTTGAATTCGTTCCAACGGTTGATTGTAAAACCTATGTTCCGAAATGGAAGAATGGAGTTAATACCGGTAATTTTTCATGTAAATTCATCGATTTCCTCAAACTTAAATAAGATGGATACGAAATAAATTAATGTTCAACTTAGAATAAAAGTGTGAAACTTTTTTTGATATCCATACATTTGCTGTTATTTTTTTTTAAATTTTTTGTCAAACATGCTATTTCAATTTTCTTTCTCTAACAAAAATTTTCCCGATAGTTTAAAATAACCTCCCATATATATCTATTTTAAACCCATTGATCTTGTTTTTTTTTATTTTATATATCAGTAATGTAATAATTGGAATTTATTCAACTTTCAACATGCTCTGTGTTGTAGCTATTAAAACAGTGTGGGACCTCTCTTTCAAATAATCCGACGCTTGTGCAAATTATTCAAATTGCTTTCTAAAGGCATGACATTTAAAAACACCAATTTTATTTAGTAATTTATCATCTATATGTATTGTATATATTAAGTTTTATTCATGTTTTCTTATTCGTCTTATTTCAATTATATATCGGTTCCATTCACCACATTGATTGAAAACATTACGTGTGAGTAAGGTATAATTTGAAGTTACCGGCGACAATATTTATGCAACTTCATAGAGATCAAATAAAATGGATACAATAATAAATAAAATAAAAAATAATTTTTTACGTGATATTATGAAAACCGTCGAAAACTTAAATAATATCGATAAAAGATTTGGGGAGTTCATAATTTTCAAAATCATTTAATAGCTTTCAATTTCCTATTGATCAGCTCGGATGCCCCGAATCTGATATATATAAGTCTAAAAATAATCTCGTATTAAAAGAGTAGCAATGAAATTTGAAATTATATATTTTATCAGTGTGTGTATTATTTTTTATGTTTCTCATAGTCGTACTTGTGGACATATTCTGAATAAAACTGTTAGATAACTTTACTCTTGATTAGTATTTTATGTCATTGGGTAATTCTTCGTAGGTTTCAGATTTTGCTCTGCTTGTCATGGATCCGACTGCTTGACTGTGTCCTAAGCAGGATGACGCAACGATAATTTGGGCCAAGAAAACGTATATTTCAAATTTTTTTCGTCGTTTTCTTAATCATTTTGACACTCCGATCATACTTTATTGACAAGAGGGCGAAATAGCCTGAAATTTAGAACATTTTTTTACCAAGCCCCGACACCGATGAAATAATGCAAGATTTCAGAAACACTCCCGTCAGATTTTAAAATAACAAATTAATAATTATCCAGGTAGAGTTAGGATTAGGAATAATTTAAAAATTCCAAGCGCAGTCTGTATCCTCACCCTGAGCCTAATTGGATTGTTACTCATTTTTTTTATTTCGAGAGGTGGCGGGGTTGTTTTTGGCGGCTCTGTACAAAAGATGCAAAATGGCTACTTTCGGTTGTTTTATCATATTTCTAAATGTGGTTACTAAAAATATACAAGGATTTACACTACACATATGGTAGCAATACAGTTTATTCATTCACTTGAAAGATATGAAATGCAAGAAAATTTTCGATTTCTCTCTATAGATCTTACAGTTTTGGATCGTCATATCCTGGTAGCATTGTTTGCCTTTTCTCAACCTTAGATGAGATTACCCTTGTGCAAAATTAGAATTTAATAAAATTTTGAGTATTTCATCACCAGACTTGATTGCAAATTATGCTTAGTCTGATTGATCTTAGGGACTTGAAAAAATATATGTTTTGAAATGTTACATGCTGGTTGGATGCAGATGACTTTTCAACCCTAATTGTATTAATCATTATTGCTTAATTTAAGAAAAACTAGGCAACCAACGTTATGCAATGCTCACATTTGCATTTACATGCTACGAACTAAGAGGGTTTCTTCCAAAAAGTTTAATTCGCTTAGAACAGGGCCGGGCACAGTTTTCTTCACAATTCTCTAATGATTCATAGTTAATAAATTTAAAATAAACAGTAAGTTTGCACGCTGTTTTAGAAAACTGAATTTAGAAAAGTGGGCAGGGGCGCACAAAATATTTTCGTGGGTCACATAAGGCACGCGGTTTATATCTTGCCTATCACTTGTTAAAAATACATCAATTGTTTAATTAAAGTTTTTATTAATCTCAATTTACGCCCGATTTCATAATTATTCATACTGCTGGTTCTGACGAAACCAACTCTTCTCGAACTGACTTATAATTGGAGATAGAGCTGATTCAACTATAGTTTCTTAAGAACTAAATGACTCGGTAGTAAGACCCCGAATCTGTTGGGGATTTGACATTCTTTTTTGTTAAACCAAGGATTCCTTCTATCAGTGGATCGATCCATCTTAGCTGTTACGCGGAGTATCTTGCGCATGAAAAAAATGACAAGCTCAATAGCGTAACCACCCAATTTATTTTTTGAGCAGGAGCAGGCAAACATTTTTTTGACATAATACAACGCCTAATAGAACCTTTCGATCCGAAACAAGGTTAGGCACTAGCGGCAACTGATATCTCTGAGGAGCTGTCTACTGACGTTCTTCGTTGACAATTTCATCTCGGTTAGTTAGTTTGGCAGAAGAATTGATAATGAGTTTTTAGTTTTTGGCAAGGCAGACTTCTCGATGACGCCTACGGTCGAACGTTACATAAAATTCCATGATTTTTAATTTAGATATAAGCAGAAAGCTAAACCAAGATTACAAACAAGGAATGACCAGGACCAATTTATTCATTTGAAAACAAAAGGAGAAAGGGGGTATTCATATGATATCACAATTACACGAACGCTATAAATAAATGCATAAAAATTATCAATATTTTTAAGTTATGACATCGTAAATGTTAGCAAGTTCATATACTTCCATTTCGATTTTACTTCGGAGCTGCAATACTAGAAAAAACGCCAAAATTCCCATAACTGCTCGGAACAAAGCAACCCACTCATTTTTTTACACGCAAAAAGGAAAACTTATGACTATCCTCTTATTGGTTGGCCAAAAATGGTTCATAGGTTTGCCAATTTTTTTTGCTGAAAAAATTTGCTGAAACTGGGAGATTCTTCGATATTATTGCCTGTGAATGCCAATCCTTTGAACCATTTGTTTCATTTTATCGGTAGAATTGAATTCATTTAACGGTAGAATTGAAGACCATTTTTGCATTTAATTAAGGCTATATCGGATCTGTTTTTCATATCAGAGCACCGATGGAACAATTTCAGACTCTCAATTTGCAGGTTCGGAGTCATCACGCAACGGCACTGATTTTACATACGGGGCTGAATGATACAGGTTGAAAAAAAAACAGAACGCAAATTTCTCAATTTATGTTTGTGTGTCTTTGTACCCAAAGTTTCACAAATCCAGGACACTTCAAACAAAAGTTATGTTTATTCTACAATATGTTCCAAATTACATGAATTCGTTTTTGTGTGTTAACCCTACAAGTTAATCATCCCTGCTATAAAAAGTCCACGAAAAAGAAACAATAACACGCCTGCCAAAATTTTTTTTTCATTCGATAGCATCTCTGTCGTAGACTTGCCCAACTTTAGCTTTCTGTATTTTACCGATCACCTTAGCATCGACAGAACGGTTATTTTGGTTTATCAATTAAAGTATTTTTGCTAAAATTTTGCGGTCCAAATTACGTTTGATTTATTTTATTTATAACTTTATAAATACGAGGGGATTTATACATTTCCTTATAGTGTGTGTGTAGTGACATCGCGACACAGCAAAAACATTTAGGAAGACGCACGTAGTGTGTGAGAAGAATCGGAATATTTTCTTAAAAGTAATCTTTTGCGTGTGGCGTATCATCTCTGGGCAAATACAGAATTATAAATATATAAACATTGATGAAGAAAAATATCACAATATAAAAAGTAATCTAGAAAATCGTCATACAAACTTTTCGAATTGGTTCCGATAAGGAGGTGTAATGTATGCCTTATAATTTGTGCATATTCGACAGGTGCGGGGATTTCAATTTCATTAAAGACATTTGAGAACTAATTTTTGATCAACTAGCGCATCCGGCGAACTTTGATAGCAAAAATAAGCCAAATAATAAAGTGTGAGGAAGTTGATACTATACTATGGGTGCCAGAAAGTTTTAGGTAATAAAGCATAAGTGAGTACAAGACTGACCAGATAACCTAAGCAGGTTTCCCAGCTTCGGTGGGTTGGTTAATATTTGAAATATGCACAATTCGTATTGTGTAAAACAAAGCGAAATAATCTCTCCGTTTCATAAGTAAGACTAACAACATGGCCCTATTCACTAAAACAAGAATATGGAACAATATTTACAAAGGCATAGATAATAAATATCAAAAAAGTACAATGAAGAAGCTGCATTTTGCACTATATTCAAAAAGTATTGAAGAAACGTGATGCGTGACATCATCAAATAGTGACGTCAATGTCTGGAAGACGTCATAATACTAGAATGGATACAGGAATGAAAAATATAAAATAAAAAAAAACAGAAATCATTATCAATAAATAAATGTAATCGTACGATGACGTCATATTACAACTGCTTTTGATACGACATTTTGTTTACACGAGATAGCAAAGTAACCTGCAATGTCTTCGCGTTCAATTTTATAAATTACTATTAAGAAAATAGTATGAATAAACTAGTTTCGCGAGTTACTTGATATTAGGGGTCACAAAAAGTCGGCGCCCCACTCTCAAGACATGTGTTCTCGATAAATTTAAAAAGAAATTGCAGTAATCTAAAACCGTTTTAGAAATAATTCAAACTGGAAACAAATCTGGACCTGATGAAACACGATCTGAAGACAAAAAAAATCAGGAGTTTCTCGCCGTCATTATCTTCCATTGGAGTAGAGATCAAATGATCGTAAATACGTTGCTATGGCGTCGTGGCAGAATTTATACTGGTCCTGTAAATATATTTAAAAATAATTGAAACGGTGGTTTTGTTGCAGGTGTTTTCTCAGGTGCAGGTTACCAATACATTTCTTTTAATCCAGTGGTCATCAAAGGGTAGAGCGAGACACAAAAAGGGGCGTTGACAATTCTTTGAGGGGGACGTGAAAAAATAAAATATTCTTGAGATTTGGTCTTGCCCGCCCTATTTTCAATATTTACGTTTCTTTATTTTGGATATTTACGTTTCATCCACATATTTTCAACATATTTTTGAATAAAACATACTTTAACCTTACTATCTCTTATTTTTAGCCCATTGTTAGCTAGTTCTTTGTAAGGTGGGGCGCGAGACATATTTTAAAAGGGGGCGCGGGATAAAAATTTTGAGAACCACTGTTTAATACAACATGTCCCCTCTTACAATTTGGTTATTGTTGTAGAATAAATAATATGGTAAAGTTTGAACAATCGTCATTTGGGAGTTTGACGATATCCATCAATGTCCATTTCAGTATTGTACGACTTAGGCGATCAAAACGTAAACAGCACGTGAAAACAGCACAACTGTTTCAAACCTATATATATGACGTGTTTTGCATTATGGTTCGGGACTGAATATACTGAAGGTATGATTGAGAAAAAAATAATGTGATGTTCTCGTTACTCGACACGCGACACAAACGATTAACAAGCTAGATTCGTGAAGCTAATTAAAAACAAAAATATTTGGCCCGCTAAACTTTTTAACACTTGTGTGTATGTTTTTGGTATTAGGATTACATACGGGTCGCGCCTTTGCCGGCGCCCTACTCTTCTGGCCCGCGAATATCGTTCCGCTTCTAATTTTGCCAGGTCAATCAAAGGAAGATTTAATTGACCAGTAATTCAGTTGGCTTCTGTCCATTCACAATTTTGATACTTATTCAAAAAGAGAAAACCAATAAAAAGGCTCTAGTACTCTCCCCAACTGCAATACTCACCACTGTTTTCACCATTCCAGGCCTGCAATCTCTTAAATCTTTTATCGCCCTGAAAACGTCGACTTTGTTCTCGCATTTTAAACGTTGCACGAGATTCACAACCGCACAGAATGAGCCTGTAATGCCTGCTCCATCGCTAAAAGCAATATATACAAGAGCTTGGGTTAGCCAGATATGGTCACAAAATAAACAGACCAATAAGAAACAGTCATTTTTACATACAATTTATTATCCTCAAAATCAACTCAAAATAAAAAAGCTGCGCATGTTTGCCAAAAGCGAGTTTTTTAAATAGTGGCGTGGCTTTACTTAATCAGGAGCTTCCAAGTTTTTACGCTGTGAAACTTGTTCTAGAAAAATTCCGCAGGAAATTTCGCTGTAGGAAATTTTCGCTTCATACGAAAAATTGCCTCATGGAAAATCGCCGCAAGAGCTTTTTTCTGTAAAACAATGTTTTTGAGGTACCTTTTTTTAAAACAGAATTCGTTATTCAAGAGCATACCCTAACCGTACAAACCTAACTGTTTTTAACACAAATACTTGTTTTAAGCCATCCACTGTTGTGGCCGCGACCTATAGGTTGGGAAACACCGCTGTATAGTATATTATATAGTCATAGTATTAGTTAATTTTTTTTTCCATCCATTAAAAAATAACATACGAAATTAAAAAGTAAATAAAATCCAACACACATTTTTACTTGGGAATGGAAGCCGCGGGGAACCAGAACTAGTTATCGAGCAGCGACACCCACATATATACTGTAAAGGTATTAAGTATATGAAATAAATACTTGCATTACCTGCAATGCACAAGAACCCTCGTTTTCCCGCCATTTTCTTCGTTTCTTTTGTGTTTGTCTACGTGAGCAATGATATCAAGTATTGTGACGTCACTACGGTCTGGTGGAGGTTGATTCTCCAACCAGTTTTTATAATGAAGATGTGTGATGGAGCGACCGAGCTGGAAATAGAGATTCGCAATAAGCATTTCATGATTCAATAATAAAGGGCTTCAGCCTGAAAAGACGCTCTCGCGACAGAGAACACTGTTTGCTAACTTTGCTTTTTAATATGACTCATTATACGTCAGTGGGACTAAAACAGTGGGACGCGCCTCGCAAAAAGGGTGTAGACAGTTTTTTGAGGGCGTGTGAAACTAATTGAAAATAAAAATATTTGTTGGATTTGATCTTGCCCGCCTTATTCTGGATATTTACATTTCTTTATTTTGGATATTTACCTTCCAGCCACGTATTTTCATTGATAAAATTCTTGTTTTATTGTTTATTTCAGACATTAGACAATCAATCAAGCGGGAACCACATCTAAAACAAGCGCTATGGCCGGAAGTTGGGTTTATTTAAATTATTTGAAGCCTTTCCATATTAATGTTGCTTATGTAGTGACATAGATATATTTTTTGAAATGAGGGGAGCTGTTATAGTTCGATAAAACAGTGAACATGCTAGTCTTCCCCCCCCCCCCCCCCCCCCCATTCGACATTAGGCTAACTTTCGCAGAATAAGTTAGCTAAGAGGGACAATTTTCGGCGCTCCAAAAGTGTGTGTAACAATATGGAAATAACTAATTTTGTTCGACTACTTTACACCAAGTTGTGTAAAGGAACCGGGACCTATGGACAGGCGGTATATTCACTTGGCTAACACAGACAGTCCCGAACTGGTAATAGAACTAAAAAAAGAAAAATGGGAATAACCCAACCTGGTACACATACTACAGAAGTACCCACTTGAGTTGGAATGACCTATTCTTTTCACCCCATTAGGCCAACTTTCGCAAAATAATTCAGCTGAAAGGGACAATTTTCCAGCTATCTGGAAAACTAATGCTAGTTTGATTCTCTTACTTTACCTTCTCTCTGTCGTCTGTTAATATTGTTAATCTGGTTTCAACGAAATCGTCATGGTCTACTGATTCTTCGTGTTTAATTGTGATGTCACCAAACTCCATTACGTCATCACTAGGCCAATACTGAGGACAATATTCCTGAAAAAAAAAACAGAATTTAGTTGAACAAAAAATAAATGTGAAAAGGTAGTAGTAAACCCTGCGTCTTGCTATTGGCCTACAATCGCAATTTTTGTAATCGTAAGATTACGTCACAAGATGGGCTATGTCAGCGTAGTTAGAGGCCAACAAAAATTTGGCGTCGTTTTACTAATTTGTTTTCGTTTTCAGGTAATATTGTAATATAAATTATGCGGAAATTAGAAACTATTCAAAAGTTACTAAAAACAGTGTGAATTGCACGTAACACTAGGGTCCTCTAAACATTGAGTGAATAGGATTTCAGGAATAGCGAACCACAGGTATAAATAGTTAACAACCAGTCAATTACTAAGTCTCATGCGGCATTAAGCAGAATTTTACTTATATTTATTATTTATATACTCACAATTTCGTCCTTTATGGTGGGCGCCAGCATGACGATGCAGGTTACATAATTATCAATGATAACTCGCCAAAAATCTTCCAGTAACGATGGCAACGGATCTTGCGCGGCAATGAGATTGACTGTGTCGTCATAACCCTGTACACATGACAAATTCTGGTAAGTTAAGAAAATTTTACACCTCCACCTCAGCTCAACACTGCAAGAAGACAGTCTAAACGTCGACCTAAATATATTATTTTCTTCCCTATTACCTTGGAATGTCGGCGTGAGGCCATTGTAGCCTATACAGCCGCAGTCTTCCATGGCTCCGTGCTAATTCTAGGTTCCGATTATTAAGTTTGATCATTATAAATTACAATCATGTATAGATCAGCGTATTTTTGCCGTGGACGTAAGTCTGGTAAAGTAACGTCAGAACAATCGTGATTTTGCTTTTAGTTAAAAATGTAAACGCTTGATTCCCAATTATTATCGTTAAAATGAGACGGAACCAGACGCAAATTGTTTTGCATAACACTATGCAATGGTGACCGTACATTTGAACCCACGTACATTTGAACCCATGTGTATATCCACGGGTTCAATCTATATGCGGGTGCTAAAACCCATTGGTTAGGGTTAGTATGGGTTCAACTATCCGAAAAACAAAAAAAATCCATAGGTGCAATAGCATACAGGTGCAATTGCCATGGGTTCAAATGTAATGGAACCCTATGCAATAGCTCAATCCGCTCTATATTTCCAACTGGCGTTCAAACCAATGAGAATTGTTTACACCGAAGCCCAGATATCGCATTATAATGTAACAGCTACTTCTAGGTACTTGCAGCATGTTATAGACAATTTTCACGTAGCAGCAATTATTATTACTCACCAACAAAGTCGAAGCGTTGACATAAGGCGGCCTCATTTCTGTTGGTCTCATTCGTATAAAAACTTGGCTGTGCTCATCTATAACAAAAAACCGTAGTATCAAAGCAGCGAATATTTGTATTTGCATATATGAATGAAATTCACCGCCAGGCAAGTAATGTATCAAGAAGAAGAGTTCAGGGGCAGTACACATTGTTCATAGCTTTATTACGATAGTATAAAAGTATGTGCAAATTGAGAATGAATGATAAAATCAGTCAAAATATGCCTAAAACTAAGTGTCAGTTTTTTATGCATATATTGAGGAAGAGAAAATAGAGTTCGAAAATAGGTGACAGGAATGATTTTAACGAAAAAGGTTGAGAACCATTGCCCTAAACCAGGGGTTCCCAAACAACGGCCCGCGGGCCGAATCCGGCCGCATAAAGATTTAAAATTGCCCGCCGAGCTCAAGTAAAATGGTGTTCTTCAGATTTTGTTTCTGCCTATTTGCGATCTAGATACCGCCAATTGCTATGTCATTATCTCAGATTAAGCACGTGTTTATCGTAACAATTCAATTATACCGCTATCTCAATTATACGTACCGATTACATGGGACAGAAATTTACTTATCAGTCACATAAGAAAGCTTAGAGATGTCAAAAAACAAACGGAAACTAGACGCTGAAACATACGTTTCTTGGATAAATGTCAGCGTTCATATTTCTGCATTGAAAAGAATCAAACTTCAGCGATTTGTCTTCTTTGCCAACGAACTATTCCGGTTCTGAAGAAATACGACTTCAACGGCAATTATGAGTCAAACAACATGTTTCAAAAAAATGCCAAAGAAAAGTGAATCTACAGAACCCCAGCTAAACCGTCGCTCGCGTACTTTCTGGCGCTACAATCTTCCGGCCCGCGAACATCCTTCCTATTCTAATTTTAGCCCGCGGCCAATAAAGTTTGGGAACCCCTGCCCTAAAAATGTAAACTAATGTAATGTAATGTTAAATGATAATTTAGGTAATTCGTTTAAGAGTGACTTTTACTCACATGGAATGACTTTTTCATCTCTATTTTTAGGAGCGTTGTGTGACATCGAACCCGAACTGAATCTGGCATTCTGTGGGGGAACAAGCGATAAAAGTTCGAATTCTGATTCGAATTTTGTTTTTCCTGACTCTTCATCGACTCTGTGTAAAGTAAAAGTAATCAAGTCAGGAAACGCTTTTAGAAAGATTTTTAAGAGTTGAAAGAGGTAAATGGTAGTATTGGGAATCAATCCAATGGGGCGAACTATCCATGTTTTAACTTTGTCGTATAATATATTTATTTAAAATCTTTAATTCGGGACAGTTCACATATTTGATTTGAACTAAAATTAACAACTCACAATTCTATATGATACGATAATGCTTGCAAGAACGCTTTTGTAAATGCGATCCTTGCAAAAAGAATTTTGCGCACCCCTGCAACAAGGCATTACCTACAGGCACAAGTGTTAGTGATTATATATCAGAGATAATGTAACGGATTCGCCATGCCTCTCTCGACCAGTACTAAGTTACTTACTTGTTCATTTCCTCAAGATGTTTTTCAAAATTCGCAACATTATAATCCGTATTCCCTAAGTAATGATGTTCAAGTATAAGTTTGTGTAGAAGAACGTACTGGTCCTAAAAATATAGGTAAATAAATCAACGGGATAAAGGCAATGGTGTGATTCAATGGGTTCGCGCTTGTTCTGGGAATGTCGTGATAATCAGGGAACCTGCGAGTTTGATACAAAGAAAAAAAAAACTTCCCCCACACCTGGATAAAAGTTACAATTTGTTTTAATCTCAAATACGTTTCGTTCATTTCGAATTATGATTCTATAATTTTCAATTTTGATGGCGAACTTTCATTTTGTCATTACAGACGGCCGTTTTGTCAGTTCCGTAGCGGAGCCTATATCCATAGAAAACTACTTGGGAGCCAACAAGGATTTACTTCCGATGGTAGACCATCATACTATGCGTCTTAATAGCAAAGTTACGAATGAATGATTATTTGTGCCCGCAGAAGCGCTTGTGTCCGAGATCCAATACTTTATTCCCAAACAATTGCTTTTTAGAATCGCTTCTACATCTATACCCTGGGTGGTGGGCATGGGATTTTACCCTGGAATGTCACAGTAAAACCCACCGCTTCAAGACTGTATATAGTAAAACATCGAATTAAAATTGCTTTTGTAGTTTTGCGTTGTCTCCGACCTCCACGTCGTCAGCTTTCGTAACGCAGATATGTTATATAGCATAATCAAAACTAACAGTTACAAAAAAAGCAAGCAAGATTGCTTTTGGCTGGCCACTGTTCTCTCTGAACGTCGCCACAGCGGAAAAGTGATGAGCAAAGGGTTCAACACCAGAATTGTAAACCTTAGATTTTTAAACATAGTAAAGCCCATCGCTTCAACCCCTTGGCCATCTTGTTTAAACAGTGGTCTTCAACTGGTGGGTAATTCCTCAAGCGGGATTGAGGGACGCAAACTTGTAAAAAACTGAACGCAATAAACACATTGAATGAATCGTATTACACAATGAAAATGATAATACCAAGCACAACAGAAAGATGCCCACAGTGCCATCTTGACGAAACTCTTTGTAAACGTGTTATTGAGATATATAACTATAGAGGCGCAACATCGTGGGCAGCTAATCAGTGCAGTGCATCGCAACTTGTTTCTATCACCACAAGTTTTCCAAGCTCCGAACTGACTAGGGGGTTGATTCACACCCAATTCACCAGATTTTAGTATTTGGGGATAAAACCCTATCTCTAAATCGGAAGCGGGTATTTCAGAAAACAAAGAATTTGCTGGGAAACCACTGTGCTAGAATAAATATTCTTTTTACTAACCATGCTCTGCACCATCTCAGTTCTCTGTTCTCTCATTTTAACCACAGTATCATGAACGTTGATCAGTTTCTCGGTTGCCAGTTGTGAGATAAGATTATCCAGCCCGACCAATGTTCCAGTACGTCCGACTCCGGCGCTATTAAAATGAAGTAATAATTAGTAAAGCTCCGTGGTGGACGCATCGTGCTTAGCGTAAGGATACGCTCGCTATTGCCCAACTGATTGCCTTACGTGGGTTTGAAACTTAGTCGAGATGAGCATGTGCGATAAGATTGCTGGACTGCATACCGCCCTAGCACGGTTCACCAATGATCAGCTGTACGCACCTGCAACTTTCATTCCTGTGTTATTTAAACTGACGGAAGGTACGTTTGCAAGTTAACTGGCAACTGACATGTGTTTGCTCTAATTCTACAAAATGAATTTCTGAAAAACATAACCTTTCCCTGCTTATAAGCTAGGTATCCAAGTTACAAAATAGTTTTCCAGCCTACCTGCAGTGAACCAGTATCGGTGTATCGCAGTCCTCTGGCTGAGAATCCAACATTTTCTGATGAAGCCTAAATATGGCTGATGTTGATTTGGGAACCCCGTGATCGGGCCAACGTTTGCATTGAAGATGAGTGATGTATCGTACCTGTAAAAAAAACGAGAATTTAAATAATTTTCTATTATGATCACCCTGGCTACAAATTGCAAAATTTTGTTCACTGGTGCGAAAGAAGTATTTGTGTCACCAGTTATCATCAGATATCGGAAATAAATCAAGATCAGCATTCTCTAATTTAAGGTCCGCCAAAGGCGTTTCGAATCACATTGGGGACAACGACTTGAGCTATAGCTTCACAGAAACGTTTGAGCTGAAGAATGGAAATCTCTAGTCCTGAAGACCTAAATGAAATCAATGCGGCCCCTCTAAATACTATTTCGATTTTTTTGGCAATCTTTTTAGCTATACGAATAGTTGTGGACATTTGGTATCATTTTGTCATAAAGTCACACAAGAAACGTTAGGACTAAAGCTAACTGGATGAAATTACCATTTACGGGCTTTGCATTCCCCGTTAAAACTGAATCTCTATGGAAATTGTGTAATATTCAACTCTCAACGCTTGTGAGTTTTTGAACTCAGATTTCAGAGACCTTCAGATTTTTTGACCAGTTTATGTAGTAAGGCATGTATGTGACCTTCAAATATACTTTAGAAAACATAGGTAGGCAAAATTTTAGCGGGTTTTCAATTACAATAGCTCAATGATGGAAGCGAGAGTTTTTACTGTACAATTGAAACAGGTGACCGTACATTTGCACCCATGTACATTTGAACCCATACATTTGCATCCGTATATCCGCGGGTTCAATCTATATGCGGGTGCTAAAACCCATGGGTCAGGGTTAGTATGGGTTCAAATATCCGTAAAAAGAAAAAATTCCATAGTTGCAATAGTATGCAGGTGAATTGTCGTGGGTTCGAATTACGGGTGCAAATATCCGCGGGTGCAAATGTGCAACCGGGTGGAACCTTGAGACACATTTAGAACTGAGCAATAATATTCGATTTTTCGGTTTCGATTTTGAAAATATTCGATTTGGACAGCCACCACACTATTCAAATCTTACCTCTGGTTCTTCCGTTTTCTCTGTGACTTCTTGAACGCTGTCGTTATCATAGACCTCTCCTGGAGATAGACTGACAGCGAGTGTACGTTGATGGTACCCACCGTATGATGTAACTTTCGTGGTTTCTACGCAAATATTGCCGCATTCCATGACCCCTTCTTCGGGAAAGTATCGTTCGCATTTCGGCTGAATAGAAAAAAGCAAAAAATTACTCCAATATCTAAAATTCACGACCTCGTGAACCTTACTTCTTACAAACTATGGATGTCGCTACTTGATAGCCATCCTTCGTCATCCCATTCCCTGTTCAGAAAATGTGTTGACGTCTTCTCGTAGTTTTGTAAGTGATATAGGCCTATAGAGAGTGGCACATTGGGGTCAAAAGAATAATTTTCTAGTTACATTTTAATGCGTAAAGTATGAGCCAAAGGGAGAAGAATTAGCCTACCTCGTGGTCTAGATTTCAAAGACAAAGGGCACCAACCTTTTGGCAGATTATCAATAGGGTTGGTTAATGGCAATGAAAACGTTAGGAATCGCTCTGCATTACTACGAGAAATTACTTGTCTGATATATATTTTCATTTCCGGAAGAATGAAATTCGCGTTATATGAAACGAGAATATGACATTTTTCGTTATTTAATTCGGTTTTGCGTCATTTAATATTCACATGGCCGAGACTATAAAATGATGCAAAATTTTTCGGCGCTTCAGAAGTATGTGTACCAATATGGAGGTAACAAGTTTTGTTCGCCTACTCTACATCAAGTTGTGTAAAGGGACTGAAACCTACGGATTCAATTTTGTAACACAAACAGTCCCCGAACTCGTAAAAGAACTAAAATAAGAAAAATCGGAATGAAATTATGCCCTAACCCTAACCTGGTACACTCACTGCGAAAGTACTCAATATTCTGTAAAGAACACACTAATCCAGGTTTTCTTTCATTTCAGAAAACCATGCCGAACTTATAGGTTATATCTCTAAAAAACAAAATCGGGTTCGCTGGTTATCACGATATTACAATGATGCTGAATCCTCCCATAGATACGAGAGATTATTATTCAATGAGATTAATCGCATATCCCATTGATTTTATGAATGAAAATAAGCTTACTGAAAAAAGCTCTTACTTTTCCGCTTTCCCGGAAGTCCGTTACCATGACGATAACCTTCAACCCATGTTCCCAAACCATTCTCCAAAAATCGTTCACAGTGCTTGGTTTAGGTCCCTGAGTTGCAATGAATTTTCGCTTTTTGGTGTAGCCCTGAATATAGTGGATCCGATATGAATAAAAGTATAGATAACAAAAGACATGTTCTACGTATTTCGCTATGAAAAAGTCCATGTGCAAACTTCCACTATCTATATTTCTAATAAAAATAACATTGTATAGCACGTTGGATGCATTTGCTTACAGTGTTCTGCATGACTACAGGATTACATAGTCATATTTAATCTTGCTACAGCATCCTTGCATTTTACGCATACGGATCGACTTGTGCAAAGACGTAGAGCAAGAATAGATAGACCGATAGCTTATTCACGCGTTGTAACTTTTCTATCGGTGTCCACTTCACTTTCATTATACGGCGGCACGATGGCCTTGAGACAAAGCACTGGCTTTGCATAGATCACTGGGTTAAAATCATATGCCCTTCCCCCCACCTCATTCCAGTTGTGATAAATTGCGTAGGTAGTGGCTGTTAGTATGGGACTATGATCGTAGCAAAAAGTGCAAAAAAGCGCGGTATTAAAAAAAATCCCCCACTTTACATTGTGAAAAAACTTGCACAAAAATGAAATTTAATCATAAACTTCAAAGAGTAAACTTACGTCTATATAAGAAGCGTTGATATAATCTGAGAACGGGTCGTCATTGATGCGCTCCAACACTACTCGAGCTTTATCAGCTGAAAAAATAAAAAATAAATGGTATTATTTACACGATTGCGACACTAAAAATAAAGATATATACAATATGACCAAAAAAAACAAAACCCATAAATTCCGTCATTACTTTTATTTATTTAACATTTAAACTCCTATTTGTGTATGTTCTTACCCAAAAGTTAAAGTTATCTAGGACGTATTGCACAAAAGTTATGTTTTGCCTAGAATATATAAAGACGCGAGATCCGACCTTTTGGGGCCCGTACATTAAATTAATTGCCTTGGTGCACTGGCCATCATTTAGTTCTTAACATTTTTTTGCGATTCAAATAGATTTCTGATTAATGTAATTTTGAGTCATTTTATGACATCATAATGCAAACTGAAGAATAAAATAAAACTGACTAAATCTAAATATTGCATAATTAAAAATAGCCTTTAAATAATTTTACAACCAAAGTTGATTTTAACAAAAATTGTTGATTTTTCAGAAACAAATTCAAATGCGACCTGAATTGCTATCGCAAAATATATGTGAAGGTTTAATGCGCGTCAATTATTTTTATTTAATATTAGCCCCAAAAATTTGTATTAGTCGATAAATTGAATAACTTTAATTCATTATAATGACATTGTGGCATTTTAACTAAATAATTAACATTTTATTACTTTAAGATATTTGCATTGTTCTAATCTGGAGATCTGAGAGTCAAACCTAAAAACATACATAGGGCAATATCTAAAATCAGAACTGAAACATGGACAGAATTGGAACCCAATACCAAAAGATAGCCAAAATAAACCACTATAAACCACTATAAACCACTATCAAGCCGTGATCCTCTGGGACCCGTAAAAAAAAATTTTTGATATTGTTTTTGTGCACGACCTTGCTCTAAGCACAAAAGTTTATCAAAAAACATTACAACTAGAAAAGCTGAAAGACTTGAAATGTTGTAATAATAAAATAAAAAAAAAACGAAGAAAATATGTAAAAATAGACAACGAGAATACAGCGGTCAACTGAAATGTTTTTAAGAAACCTATTTTTACATATCGACAGAGGATATAAAAATATCAACTTACATGTAACAATATTCTTGTATCGATTTTTCTCTCTGTTCTGGGGCAATTTTGCATATTCACAAGTTGACGGGTTTTTAGATACATATGTTGAGATGCCCTTCGAAAATTGAAATATACAAGAGGTCACAATTAATCTATGTAAAGTGAAAGATATTTGCAATACGGTTCCATTACATTTGAACCCACGACAATTGCACCTGCATGCCATTGCACATATGGATTTTTTTTTGGTTTTACGGATATTTGTACCCTTACTAACCTAACCCATGGGTTTTAGCACCCGCATATTGATTGAACCCGCGGATATACACATGGGTTCAAATGTACATGGGTTCAAATGTACGGTCACCTTGCAATACAACCGTGAAAATCCTAATATTTTCAATAGTAGTCCTCTCTTTTTGTGGTGAGACTGAAAAATGCCACAAGGCAATATATAGAAGGAATCATGTAGCTAAACTGGTCATATAGTTTCAAGAAAAAACCATTTTAGTATTTCTGAACTACAAAAGTGTGGTCCTTAATCTATCACAACTTCTAAAATGGCAAATGGCACAGAACGGAAATGTGTATATCGGCAAAACATCAAGAAACAATAACGTTTTTTAAATATGACAATTATGGTACATATGCTACGGAGGGCGTGCCAAACAGAATTCGTCCCGGAAGTCGGAATTAGCACGAAACTTTTCTCATGGATCGAACTTAATAACATGACTCGTTGAAGATTACCAAACTTGTCCATATTGTCAAAAAACAATTACCACGATTAAATCATCCTTTTAATCGATTTTTAATTACTTTTTCATTGCATGGACACAATGCTAGGCGCAAAACTAATTTCCTTTTACCTTCCACAGAAATACTCTCCGTTCTTCCTAGTTTCATTGCTTAATAAAGTTATTCACAGGGTGTTTCCACTTTGTTGAGCATGAATTGTTCGATATTAATAGGATTAGGGTATACTAATCAAAATAACACTGTAAATACCACTGAAATGACAAAAATGGGAACCACGAGTGATGAAGACCCCCCCAGAGAGGGCCCACGAGCCATAAAAAGGACTCTGGACTAAACAAAATTGTTTGCTTCTTACAAATTGTATGCGTATTATTATGAATTAAGCTTGGGAGCTTAATTAAGCTCCTCGCAACCTGGCGATGATTACCGTACATATTACTGATCGCTATTTATATAACAATGACAATCAAACTTTAAGTCTCTCATACCTTCATCTCTTCTCTGAATAATCGATCCTCATCTGCGTGCTTCTTATTATAAACATTTTGTAAATCTTCGATTCGAATAGACATGTCGTCTCCCCGACTGCCAGCAGTCTGGGAAATGCTTTCTTCGCTGCTTGTCGTAACGGGAATCGTTTCTATGTCGTCACAGGGGGTTTCATTGTTGCATAGATCAATCCCTTTTCCCGCGCTAACTTTGAGTGCTAAATAGAAAATGCAACGTTGAGTTGTTAAGTAAGGATTTTAGACATTTATTACCGGGAAGAAGAAGAACGATAACATGGCTTGACCGCGACAAAGTTCATTGTTCCAAATGCATGAACTTAGTTGGTGTAAGAAGTCGTGACGCCCAGTGGTCATTTGTCCGCCATACGACGACGAGTGCAGAAATTTCTTTGCACATAATTATTGCCTTCGCAAGGTAAATAAACTAGGGTATTGCAACGCTTAGCATAATGCTCAAAATTGTCTTTTATAAATACAGTGTAAAGAAGCTATATCGCGATGACGGCGCTCAAAAATAAAATGATTTGTTTTAGGTAATGCATGAAATTGTATTCACTCAATAAGCTTAAATGTTACCGAACAGAACAAATAACCGATGGAAACGACATTCAGTTACCTCCAAGACCTAATTCTGGCATTTAGCAAACTATTTTGGTGTCGCGGGTTTAACATCTAGAAATAAAACCTCACACCAACAACGACATCTAAAAATTGTAGATTGCTGTGAATTAATGGCTGCGTGTCTAGTAGGGCTGTTCAAGCGAACCGGATATTCGAAATCGAATCGAATCGCAAATTGTTCGAACCGTTTTCCGGCTAATTTGCGAATTGCTAAAATGCGGTACATTAAGCGAGAAAAGCCTCACGAGCACCTTTGCACTGCGTTTTTCATCGGACAAGTGAAACATATTTCTCTCGCCTTCTTTTTGCGGTAAAAAGGTGTCTCTCCTAATGCCCGGTGGTATGTAATTATCCATCTCATGTACCGTCATAACTGGAGGGTTATTATCGATAATGACCTTTTTGAGAGATCACAAAAGGGAAAAATGGCAATTTAGTATCGGTACAAAATGCTAGTTCCATAAATGAATCGATTTGAAACTGTTGAGTCAGTAATCATACGAACGTGGTACCGGTAACTTGAAGCTGAAACACATGGTGGGGGATCCTTATGATGACAATACCTGCTTCCAATGGAATTTGTAATTTCCTATGACAATACTTGGTATTATTTATCTATTACTATGAAAAAGAATAGCACTCTTGCATTTTGGCGGCTGTTGTACAGTAACAAAACAGCCATCAAATAATAATGTCATCCCTAGCTCCGAAGTCGATATTTCCCTAAATGCAATATAAAATTTCTTGGGCAACAGTTTTATCTATACCAATGGTTGTTAATCATTTTGCTGAAAATTACACAAAACACCTCCAGAGTTAAGACTAATGATAATGAGATTAAAATAGCTTTGTATGCCTTATTAAAACTGAATTCATCAGAATTTAGTAAATAAAGTATTGAGAGTATGTGCAATTGTCAACACACAACACTCGACAGTTTTCGAAACCCCAATTTTAAGGACTTCTAAATTTTTTGACAAGTCAATGGAACCATGATCTCCTTTTAAAACTCTGAAAACATACATATGCAAAATATCAGCACTCAGCAGTAATTTAGATGTAAATGCACATATATTTTCACAATATCGCATGGGGAGTTTTTATTGTACGATAGAGATAGAATTAGGATTGCGCAATAATATTCGGTTCGATTCGTGAAAAATTTTCGATTAGATTTGAATCAAAAAAATATTCGAGTTTGGACACCCCTAGTGTCTAGTGATTTATATAGAGCGAAAGCTCTAAGTAATAAAAATAAGGTTATGATACTTTGCCGCTGTTGTTTTATGATGCAACAATGACTTGTCAAAGTTGCGCTGGAAAATCCATTGATATCGTATTAGTCAGCACGTAAGTTTTTGTTAGTTTATCACAGTCTATTTGTTTGGGACACGCAATATAAAAAATTATATGTATCATAGCAGTATAAATGTTCTTCTAATGTTAAAACAAACAACCATTTGACTACAGGTTGGGAATTACCGCGATAGCGTATATGAAGCTCACAGAATTAGAATAGACTCCGCATATTGTGGACCACAAAGTATGCAATGAAATATAAAATACTTCCTTAAATACTCATTACCTTTGGACAAGAATAAAAAAGTTCTAAATTTTATAAATCAATTTTGTTTTAATTATATGTCCTGATAATTCATTACTCACATTATTTTGATTCCATTTCGAAGCGATTTCCTTGAACACTACCGGTAATATGGGTGACAATTACAAACTAGAAGAAACTAAAGGGTATTTGAGATCGAATGCATGCGCTTAACTAGATGCAACGCTCGGCATCTCCGTGGTTACTCGAAATTTTAGATAAAACAAGTCTAAACTATGACAATCATCTCTGAAATCTGGGAAGGTAAAACATTAACAGAACGACAAAAATCGAAAAAGCTTACAATCCGGATCTCCATCGCATAATTCAGGCATTGATTTGCTATGTGGTACTGTGTCGTCACTGTAGTGAGGGACATCAAGCTTTGTGACATCATTTTGAGAAGACGAAGGCGAAGGATCTTTCGGTTTTTTCTTTCCGAACCGTCTGCTGAAATACGATGCTTCAAAAATGACTGAACGATGTATAATAACAGAAAAGGCTACAAAATGGACGACAAACCGAAATTATACAACTTAATTAAACAAACATTTCGTATTGAAAAATCATGCAGTATTAGAGTTGTAAATACAATTATTAAACAAAATGTCAATTTTATGTACATGTAGGCATTGTGCTGTACAGCAGGTGAAGACCAGGTATTCTCAGTTAAAACTATCAGTGCTCTTTTCTCGTTACATTGATATATAACGTTCTGGGCTACACCCTGGTATTAACTTTTTACAGCCCATGTCACAAAATTTTATTGCTCATACTGCGTAAAAATGACGTTTTATTTGCGTACCTGTGACGGTGAATGTTTATATAAAGACGACATTGTTATAGCTAAAACGCAATAAAACTGATAGTCTCTGGATCAAGGAAGGATATGTGATTACAATCGTTATATGAGCGATATATTTCGAAAAGGGCTATTGGTGGTGGTCATTGATTCTCAAATTGCGAGTTATGATACTCTGATGCGCCGTTTCAATTTTCCATGGCCGTCGTACAATAATAAATTGAGTTGATTGTAAAAAAAATTACGGCGCTGTTAATCACTTTGTGAAATAACAGCGGTTATTTTGGGGTTCAGTTTTATCACGTCATATCGAATGCTGACAGATGTGTATGTAATTATTGCGCAACTGCAGTGTAGTCCAACAACGAACGAAAATGTAGTACAAACTGTTATCCAGTTAGCTACAGCTGCTACACTATCTATGCGGGATTTCCTGTTATGTCCGTCATTAACCTCAGATACATTACAAATTTTAGACATGATTTATAGTGGTAACACTGGTAACTCCAAAATTTATCTAGAGATTCGACGGAATTCGCAAAAATAAGCAAGCCGGTACGTCACATTAAATAAATCATATGCATAAGCCACGCAAAAGCTGACACGAGAATTACAGAAAGCGAAAACAATGAAATGTGTAGAGTAACTTCAGGATAAGATTTAGAGACCAGTCATACCGGTCGACCATTGCGAAGGGCATCGCAAAAGATCAGAAACCCTAATCGCACGCCAGATTTAGTAAATAAAATATTTGACACTCAAAATTAAATAACATTCACAAAATAGAAAATAAACTGAATTAACAAACCTCAACTTGTTGATGCGTTTAAACATCGCTGAATGTATTTCTTTACTGTGACAATCTTTTTACATCCAGTGATTTGTTGAGTCTCTTGACAATTAGTTGTCGATTGAAAAAATAAATCTAAAAGGCTAAGCTAAGCGCAAAAATATATACAAGCTCACGCACTAGGCGTGTTTGTCTAACTGAAGCTATAAAAATAAAATAATAGAAACCTTATTGTGAAACAACAAACGAGATATATATTGATCTCAATGACGTCACAGAAAAAATATCGTAATGGTAGGACTGATTCGTTGCAAATTAGATGTAGACTACTTGGCGTTGGAAAGCTTCAGTTTGCTTTTATAATGAAACATATCGCATTGAACTAATAATAAACGGTGAAAAGTGTTTGGTAGTATTCAATGCTGATAAGATGATCGGTGATAATCTGAAAAATAGCAACAACAAAGCACAATCATCTATATTCTATGACACAGGAATGGCACAATTTCCGCCGCTTTATCATAATATATTGAAGCTATACCGTATAATTAGTTTCATGAACTATATTGGATTCTTACTCTACACCAGCTTGATTTCAACCTAATCCGAACCTTGGAACAATTATTTTTTGTGCATGCAACATCAGAACCCTTGTAGTAGAATGGTATTATTCTGACTAGTCACGCTCTGTTAATTCGCGCTTCGGCGACATGGTCATCAATGACCAACCGTGGCACTCTTCACGAATCGTCGCCGTTGACTCTGTTAATCTTACTGCTGGTAAAATAGTCCGATCAAGACCAGATGTTTTTGTTAAACCGCTAAATTATTTTAGTCCACGTACTTCCCTTACACACTACACGTTGCGAACCTGGTATTCGTATAGTAATCAATAATAATATAAAATCGCCGCATAACAATAGCAAACTTCGACAAAAAATATGAGCTGTCCTATCTCAACTATGATGGAAATTCAATCGATGCATATTGAGTCAACAATCGTGATGTCAATAAAGCTCTTCACCTTTGGCTTGGTCGTTCACATAAATAGCAGTATTGAGTTTGTATAATGGTAGTTAAATGTACTTTACAGTTGGAGAATTAAGTTGACTCGCTTTGGATAGGTTGAAATATTCCACCAGACAGTGACATATCTTTGAAATTTGAATACCGTTACCCAGTGGTTTCCAACATTTTCTGCTGAATCCTTCCCTTCGCCTATCTTGGAATCCTTTATTCATTTCTCATTAGGCATAAAAACTATTTTATTTGTTCAACCTTTTAACGAATTCCTAGTTATTTGTTAGGCTATCGTACAATTCAAAAGCAATTTATGATATTTGCATAAGTAAGTATTTCAGCAATATTAAGGACTGCAAAATGGCATCAATACTACTACTGCAAGTACAAAGCAAAATTCCTCATGAAGAATGACAAAAATCTCTCTGATAAACGTAGCGGCCTAAAAACACCGTCATGAACCGCAACAATTAAAAGAATCTGTGTTCGTCTGCAGTATCGCGTAACCAAACACACAATGACACAAGTAAGTGAAATAATCGCAAAACTAAGCATTATGAATGCGGAACAGCAAATGAAACAAACACACATTTCAAACTTTGTCATAAAGTAATTAATCATCAGAATCGTCCTATCATTATGACGCAATTATCATACTTTCGATATAACAATTAAAATATACTCGCATTTCTAAGTAAATCAAAATTTTTATAAATCCAGTTTCGTAAATTAAAGCATTAAAAATTTATTTTGTTTGATTCGCGGAAATATATATCTTAAATATAAGCGCTTCCAGAAGAACTTACCCATCAGAAATATAGCGAAAGCTATCATTTCACAACTTTTGGCATTACATAATTCTTTGCTCAAACCTTTTAATTAATCTAAATTTTAAAATAAATAAACTTGCAATATTTTGAAGTTCCGTCTTTGAATTAAACTGGTCATCATTCGCTTTCATTGGCATCATAGAGAGCCTACCATTGCTAAAATAGTGACGTCATATTTAGTTGATGGATTATAGTTGCTCTAACAGGGTCATAGTTCATGCGTAGTTTAGTTGTCAAATCCCTATATCGTTAGTTTTCCAATCAAAGAGATGTTATCCACTGAAAGTGATATGAAAAACATGACAAAAATCACGGGATTGAGTACTTATATGTTATAGTATATACTATACCTACAATTTTTAAAATATTCTTTGTATATTTGCTTTAGCATGCAGTGACGACAGCGATGATTTATGTCAACTCGAAACATTGTGCATACAAGTACGAATAAGGTACCTAACGTCAAGCTATAGATACGACGGCTTAATTCAGCATTACGCATTACGATCTCATATTCAGAAATAGTTTTCGAAATTTGAAATGCTTGCGTCGATATCTACAGTTTACGGTATTCAACATACCACCGACCTGTTATATGACTCATCGAACGGTATTGACGAGTTGAACTACGCCACATGAGAAGTTTCAAGATTTTGGAATATATCTCGCTACTTCAAATAAGGCGGCTAAAGACATTGTTACCTACAATGTTCATATACAACACGAAAATCGGACCAGAGATTTTAACCAGCGTCGAAAACCTGTACATTTATGAACTAACGCGACGGTGCCCCCATGTTTCTGACTCTATCGTGACAAGAATAAGTCTACGGGACATACATAGGCCCGGGATGTGCAAAAGACAATTATGAACTTCGAAATTTTCAAAAGCTTGAATAAACTCATCTAAGTGCTGTATTCGTATTATAATGAACTAAGCGTCAAATCCCCACTAAAATATTCTTAATTTAAACCGCGACCTTTCCTATTTTCGACTTATGACGAACTATCGGTTCTACAATTCGTGATATGGCTAACAACACGTTTGGCATTGAGACTGTTGGCTTAAAAGTCTTATGCAGCCGATATGACCTAATGTAGAGAAAATATTAATCATATCTTTGGTGGGATTATTACAAGTAACTTTAATTTCGTTTAGTCACTGCTGACAGAAAGCTGACGAGTTCGCACCATCATGCCAAACACCATATAGTATGGTGTTTAAAAATATTATTGGACGCGATGTGCAGTATGGATCGTTCTGCCAAATTCATGATATTGTTGTGAACAAACTGCTTTTCTCCTAAACAAATGATTTAGTCGTTTCAGACTTCCATTATTTGAATATGGATAAGCCTTTGAAAAGTCCATTACTTTTATTTCTTCACAAGTTTCATTTGAGACCCTCTATTCTGCTGTTTAATTTTCAGGCGTATCTTTCAGGTGTAACACACCGATTCGCCATCTCAGTGCCATGAATTTGAGAATTGCCCTCTTGTTGAATTAACAATGATAACGATTTAGGAAAATATTACGTAATGTAAATACACGTGAAATTTTATCACAGATCAAGAGTCATAAATACATTTGTGCCATGCAGTGTGTAACAAGACTCTCGAATCATTTTTATATATTTATCTTCACAGTCGCTACATCATCCTTGCTTTATGTGCTCACGGATCCACCGGCGCAAGAAGGATAAGTAGTTAGTCCCACAGAAACAAGATTTCATTATAAATTGGACATTTTCTGTTACTGCTTAAAATCATTTCATGTATTCGTTTATCCCATTGTACTTTACGACATTAGTAAATCTCTGGCAACCCTTCCTAAAGTCTTTGCTTCTACGGTTATCCGCAACAAGGGATTCAAAATTCAAATTCACTCCTGTATGAAACTCACTAACAACAGGTTTCTTTATTTTAGAGAACCATGGTGAACTTATAACTCTAGGAAAGAAAGTCGGAATCGCTGATTATTATGATAGTCTGAGAACGGGTTCGCAGGAACCCCTGAATCGCAGCTCGGAATACAACTCAAGCCTTGCTAATGCTTCCCGACTGACATGCTAATGAAATAGGTATAACACATAATGTTAACGTGCAATACGCTCGTTTATAATTACTTTAACTATTGATCCCCAGTTCGTGCCAGAACCATTAAAGTCGGCATTTGTTACTATTAGGCGTATCCTACTGCATAGCCTACGCGTAAGCTTAACTTATGCTACAATACCACAAGTTTACCCAAAGCAAACATACCAGGATTGAATAAATTCCTGGTGAATTCTTTGTGGCCAAAATTTTATTGCTCTGAAAATATTTTATTACTGCCTCGTCATGTCTGGACCAGAAATACCTTATTAACAACTTGGAATGACCTCAAGTCATAAATTTTCAACATTTTCGGTTCATCGAAACCCCAATAAATCATTCCATGAGGGCATGGGGGTTCCTTGTCCCACTTGCCGGCTTAAACTGTCTGAATTCTACGAATTATATAGGCATATACATATAAGCATACCTGATCCTGGCAAAACAAAATGATCTATGAAGTGTAGCAAGTTTAATAATAGTGGCAAATCTAATATGTATGTGAATATATGTAAACATTATACATATAATAATATAGTCTCTCGGACCTCGTAAACTTGTGGAATCCCTGGTTTGTATTGGATGAATCCTAGTGCGGCGCCACGGAACCACGGTTGCGAATCAATCTCTTAAATAATGCCACAGTAACGTATACATACTAAGTTATAATTCATGACAAAAAAAGCAAAACATTCTTCTAGTACAACATTGCGCACCATTCATAAAATCCGTCAAGTACAAATCGACCCATGTTTATTTATTTTCCCACCTTTGGTACACAGAAGTGGTTTTCAACCTTTTAGGCGGAGCGGAACCCTATAAAATAGCTTAATTGTCTTTTCCCCATGTGTTGTAATAACTATAAATATATATGAAAGCACATCGAATACTGACAAAATAAAATGATCTTTAATATGTAGCGAGTTTAATAATAGTGAAAGACTCAAATTTGAAACGTAACTGAGGCGCACCTGAACTGTACTGACAAAACCCTAGGGTGCGCGAACCTCAGTTAACAATTACTGGGCGAAACTATTGATTACTGGTCCACAATATGACGGAAGCATTTGAGTAATTTAGCAAGCCGACAATCAGTTTCAAAATCAATATGTTGGACTTTACTTCTGAACTGACCTGTTCTATACACACTAAAACTGAAAACTCATTTCCCATCCGGTATACAGCCAGACTTCATTATTTTATTTTATAATAAATACAATAACGCTAGCAAATATGGAACTAATGACGAATAGCCGGAATCAGACGAAGTGGCGATTTTTCAT